CTTCCACTTGTTAGCCTTTTTTGCGAGCCGCTGCTGGGAGCGCCGGTGATTCAATTGCGGCCGAAGTCGCGGTCGAGTTCGGTATCCGAGCGCCTCTTCGATTTATTTCCTGTCGTGGCTCGAGGGCCAAGTAAAGATCAATTAGAGATAGAGATCGACGGCTCGGGTGGATATTAATTCGTCGAATTAGACGAACCTGAATTAGGGATCCTGGTCGAATAGAGTTGCAGGATTATCGGGACAAATGTTGCCGAGGAGGAGGCCGCCGTTCCCGCAATTTAAATCGCCTTCGTTAATTCCAGGCGAAGAAAATTTACTTTCAAATACATATCGTAGAGATATAATATAAATAACTTAATGGAAAATTATGGTAACGGAACAACGAATAATTAAACAGGACAAATTGCTTTAAAACAACACGGATTAACTGAAAATAAATTCTTTTAACAATACTTTAAACAATTGTGATACTTTTTTAACAATTTTTAACTCGCGACTCTGGTCATTTTTTAAAAAAAGAAACGCGCTTCATGCCTCGCGTGAATTTTTCATATTTTATCATATTTCTATGACCATGATCAACAAACAGGCCATCTGTTATATTTAAACATGACTAAAAAACTGATACTACAATATCGATTAGCAAAATCCGGAGAGGAATATTTGACACTGTCAATATGTGATATGTGGCGAGTGTAACTGTGCAAATTTGCACGCAGTTTTGAGTGAGAATAATTATTGAAATTGTCGTCGGAAATACTTGGAGAACTGGTTGGCAAGCTGCGAGCATTCGTTGAAAATTAGCCGATTGCGCTTATTAGCGGCATCGGTGACGGATGAATCGATACGCAAACTGGCTAAGCCCCCTAAATCAATTTGTCCCGTGAAACTTTCACGGCGTAATCGATCGGTCCCCGCACGGTGCTGGTGTCGTTAAATTCTCTTCGAGAGACAGCTACTAAAGAACCGATCGATTATTCCTCAAGGAGTGAATCCTCGAGGTGTTGCGAGACTACCTCGTAAAATGTCTGTTGTGTAACAATACCGGTCCCTCGTTCCACTCGAAATTCCCCGGAGGAGAAGCAATATGCCGTTGAAGGGCCACGCCGCGATGCTTAAGGCTTCTTCAAAGTGGAAGCCAAGATCTCACGCTTCTGTCAAGTTCCGCTCGGATGGTCATCGGCCGCCCCTGTCTTGGATAGCGAGGGATCGGCCGGTTCGAAGGTCCTTCAAATCGAGGTCGAAATCTTTGACGACGTGATTCTTCGACCACAAAGAGATTCTTATTTACTTCTCGAGAAATTGCCGTCCGTTCTCTCTGCGGATCCTGAGATTGCCAATTGTTATTTTTTCCGAGGATTCATATCCGTTATATCGTTCGAAAGTCAAACGTCTCGAGTGAATGACATTTGTGTCGGTCGATGTAGAATTTGATTGTAATTTGATTCGCTTTTTGGTATGTTACGAGAGGAGAAACTGAAACTGAACGAAACGAAAATTATTGCGGTGAATATTTTGATTGTCTGTATCAAGGATTAAATTGAAAGTTAACGCGGCGATTATTTATGCAAATTCATACTTTTTATCGAGAAATGATGACTTGAATGGAGATTTATTTCATCCATAAGTTATATTTATACACTGTTATTATAAACTATACTTGTCTCGCGACTAATGACAGTAATAAGTAATTCTAATGTGAATCGTTGGAAGAAGAATTCTGTACTTTAATCGTAGTGATTTTCTAGAGTACTTTGATACATTGTGTATATATTGTGTACATATAGTTGCAGATGTAGTATAATATAAAGATATATGAAAATTAAGATACAGTGGAGTATTAAATCAATTATGAAATACAAATATAGTAAGAATGTATTCAAATTATTATACTAAAACAGAAGAAACTACAGGTTATTTTTCATGTTAATAAATAAACCAATCTCGTGTAATTCTTTTTCAATAAAATTTCGTAATTTGTTTTATTATATTTTAATTCGAGACAAGTTCAAATAATGAGTATCGCCTGTCGCGATAGTTTGCTAAGAACGTAACGAAATTCCTAAATGAAATACAGAAGACGAGTGTCCGGTTGCTTACGCGAGAAACTTAAAATCCAGAAAGGGTTTTTACGTGTTCTCGTGTAGCAAAGTGACAAAGTAATTTCCTCGACGCTGTTGCCGAAGCAGTTCGCGTCTCGTCCAAATAAGAAGCAGCTCCGTTTACACCGAAGACGTATTTGTTCAGGAATGTACGACGACCTTCTTACGGCAACGGTCGCCGAAAATTGAACAGACGAGGAACAGGGTTGGTCAGCAAATCATGACTGTGACCAAAGAGAATTCGAGCAACTCGAGGAATCCCCGTGTACGTCGCAACGAACAAACCTGTTATATACTTTGCTCTAAAATGTCACGGAAATAACAAGGCTGCACCGACGAGATCATTACTACGGTCAATGTTTTCCCAGTGTTTGCCACCACGATCAACGATTAACCGCCTGGCCAAACGAAATAGGAGTCTCTGAAGCAAATGTCAAACAATCACTCTGTGAAAATTTTATCTCCATTCCTGCGTGGCTGATTTCTCCTGACGTTCAAATTGCACGATCTTGGCTACATTTTGAGAATTGTTTGAAGTGTACTATATTCACGTTATTTTTGTACTTTACATGCGCGTTCTGTGCAATTTTCTACTTGAAAATGTGAAAATAAATTGTTCGAAGTGTAGTCCTGGAAATCAAGAAAAATTGAGATATCGAATTTTTCTTTGGCAGATTGATTTCTAAGATTTAGATTCGTGATGCGAACTGCGGATATTTGTACGTTCAAAGTTGCTCACGCCGTGCAAACACATGTATAGACTATCGAAGTATCTAATAAGCACAATCTGATAATCTAACTGGTTTCAATTCTTTTGACTATTCATCAGTATAGATATGAATTTGCAGAAACGTTCGCAGTCTAATTACAAGCTCCAATAAAATTAGTAACAGTAGAAGTTTCAGTTACAAGTTTGCGAAATTGTTCGTTGATAGATAAAAGATATATTTTTCAACAAGCTTAATATATCTTCAACTAGCATAATATGAGAACGCGTACGTGGATCCGTGGAAAATTTTTGCAAATTTTTTCGCCGATGCGTTTAACGATCGAAGGACACGATTGCGTGGAAGGAAACGAAGGTCGCCCGAGTTGGTTGAACGACTGTAAAGTTGGTCAGCAAACGGAGGAAATCCGGAGCCTGAGCTTGTCAGATAATCCAAACTCGACATCGAAGCGGCCAGGAATCGCGGGCTTCTTCCACTGCATTCGTAATCTTGGGTCTCGCCGTGACAGCCGATGAATTATGGCAACCGACGCGCAAACTAGCGCTAGAAATCTAACGTTGACTAGTCGGAGGAAATGCTCGCAGCAACGAAATATTCGTCTGTTTATTCGTAGCGAAGTGCAAAATGTTAGCTTCCGCCGCGAATATTTTACTAATCTTAATTCTATTTCAACTCTGGCACCGAATATATTCCTCCTTTCCTCTCGCGTCCTCGCGTAACAAGTCGTACATGTGAGTGAATTAAATAAAAAAAACACATTGTTAATTAATATGTTTAATATATATATATATTGAATAACGTATACAATACCTATCACATATGAATTCACTTTCTCTCCGATCAATATTCACTTCTCATCTCAGTCTCGCAATGAATACTCCTCTGCTCGCTTCTGGACAAAAACACATCACGCAACACACTCGCAATTATCTCACAATACTCACGCCTTTGCTCGACTCTCGCGCATCCTCGCACATACAACATAAAACCAAATCCACAGTACAAGGTTGTGGATAACTTCTGACAACTATGACTTAGTAATTTCGCATTGAAAGTCAAGAAAGAATATATATTCCTTTCGATAGTCCGCAGTACACCATGTATTTTGCGACAATTTGCACTAAGGCACATGTTACCCGAGTCGTACCATTTAAATAATGCCCGGGAGTCGTTTAAATGAGAAAAGCACGTTTACGTTTAATAGAATGGACTACTAACACTCGTTGTTAACTTAAGATTCCGTGCGTTAACTTAAGATGGGCAAAAGGGGGGTCTGATGGATTCGTTGGTTCGCTGAAATTTATTCGATGCTCGCAGACAGGAAACACGAGACGTCCCGTCAAAATGGTACGATAAACGATACGAACGGTTTTTCCAGCGAGTGAACGCATTCCGAGGTATCCCCGGCCTTTCGTTGATTGTACGCGACGCGAATTCTTCCGCAGAGAACTCCGAGTCATGTAGAATTGATCGAATCGGTATTCCCTCGGTCAAGTCTTTCCTTCGAGAAACAGGGATATATATATATATATATATATCGTATCGAGAGATCTTCGTCCGCCGTTATTGGATTTTATTCGACCAGTCCTCCCTCTTTCTCTCTCTCTCTCTCTCTCTTCCCCTCTTTGTGTCTAACAATAAGATTGAATTTGAGCACTCCCGGGCAAAAACAAACGTTCCCCTCCAATCAATTGTTTCCTTTTGCCATTTAAAGGAAAGACCCGAAAGGCCACTATTCTTCGTTAACGTCACTTCAACCGATTTCGATCGTTATATCGCGTCTGTAAATCTAATCGAACCATCGAGTCGAATCATCCGACGATTTGTCGCGTTCAACGCTTTCATTGCGGCGAATCGTTTTTTCGTGTGTGTGTGTGTGTGTGTGTGTGTGTGTCGCTTTGACTATCAATGGGAATAAATGAAAATACTTGTTGAGGTACAAAACTACAAACTGACGATAGGTAAAATAGATTTGATCAAGATTTATGTTCTGGATAATTTAGTTGTTAGATAATAATGTCTACTAAATTTATCAGATCACGTCTAGTTACTAAATTACTTAACATAATATTATTCCCGTACTTCGGGTCGTGTTACGTTGTGGAATGAAACGTTACGATCATGATTGTCGACGAGCTCGATAAAAAACGATAGTTCGTTCTGATTGCAGAGCCGGTCACAGAGATCGCCGGAGGCCCGGATCTGTTCATCAACAAGTACAGCACGATAAACCTGACGTGCCTGGTCAAATACGCTCCGGAGCCACCGTCCACGGTCGTTTGGAGCCACGATCACGAAGTAAGTATAATATTCGCAGCGTTTCCATATCCCTTATTGTCTCTGAAGAGCAAACTCGAAGGGATCAACGACGTACCGAAGGGCTTTCGAAGTTTCTAGGTCGCGTTTCAATAGAGAGAGAGAGAGAGCATGGCCATTCTGGCGATAAGCTGGGATACATTTCCCATAACTAACGTCGTTCTTTGCAACATTAAAGGGATTGCAGGGGTACGTGCACGCGCGGTCCATTGTTATCGCACGGTATCGATTATCGCTGCAATCGAAAGCGTTTCCACGATGCCCGTTATTTATGAAGCTCGCTAACAAGCTCGCGATTGTTCCCGGACAACGATGCGCGGAGGGCAAACGCGTAAATAAAGACGGCACGAGCGTAAATTATTCGCGGCCGAGGTAAAGCTGCTGTTGATCGAGCATCGAGGATCCCCATTCGTCAATAATGATTTATTCCGGTGAATCCGCTGCTACGTAACTTTTCCTTTCCGTCGTGTTGTAAATACGGCTGGTAGAACTGGTGGTAAAATGTTTTTTTCGAAGGACTTTAAACTTGTATCTGCTTGCGCTTCATTTCAAAATTGTACGAGAAAATCAAGCGAAAAATAAAGTTGTAAGAAGAAGAAGATGTGTAATGTAAAATATGCGACGACAAACTGAACTGTTTTTTGGATTGATTTTTAACTCTTGGATTGTACGTTGTTGAGAATTTGCAACATTGTGTGCTATCAGTTGCAGAGTTTATTAAAAGAAATTGTAGCTAGTTAGCGAAAAGAAAAGAACTGTGGTTCCAATATTCAACACGTGGAAAATGAAATTCCGTTTTCAGTAATTTTGGCTAAATTGTGCTGTTGAACGTGAGAAAAACTATTCAGAACCCTTTCTGAACAAAATGTTTAATTAAATTCTACACTCGTGTATCATATATTCTACTTTCTCTATAGTTCTACGCTCGTTGTGTGTTCAAAATTGACAGAGTTTGCTGTTCACTGGCTAATTGTTTAACATTGTCAAACATGAGTCGATTCTGATTCACGTAAATACTTTATTTTGATACACGCGCTGCAATTGCATGACATAATCAAAACAGGAAATGCGGCAGTCTCCTTCCGTTAATAAATATAAATCATATGAATTTTATTCGCATTTTATACTGTTAGACAACCGTGCAATTAATTTTTTCCGAGCTACTTCCTTCCATCCAACAGTGAAATTCTCTCATGAACAGACAAAAAAGTAAAAATTGAATTTTGATCAAAATTTTGACACAAGCTGTCGAAAAGATGATGTGTATTTTCCAAGTACGATGACACGAGACATAATCTTGCATTACACTTTAAATTTATACACCTTTGCTGGTCCACCACAAGATTGTCCTTCTGCCTCTTCAAATTCGCTGGAAATCCGGACGAAAGAAATACGCGAATGGCGGAGAAGAAAGTACATACCTACGCATAATGTATGGCATCGATCGTACATGTGTCCTTGACGCGTTTATGTAAAAACAGGCAAGTGGAAAATTCGCGACCTGTTCCGTGGCTAGTCAGCATCCCTCGGCGTAGGCTGTAAACATGTTTTAAAGGCATTTGTCCCGGAATGTATCTCGCCACTTGCAAGAGACACTTCCTGTCGCCACTTGTCCCCTCGTCTACGGCGCCAAGTAGCTTTATTCGGCGATAGTCACGTCACGAGGTGGATAACACAACGTGTCTGTCTACTTTCTTTTCGTAGGCGATTACCTTCAACACGCCGAGGGGTGGCATCAGCCTGATCACGGAGAGAGGGCCCGTGACTTCCAGCCGTTTGCTCATTCAGAGAGCGATCGAGGAAGACGCCGGACTGTACACCTGCTCGCCGAGCAACACACATTCCAGCAGCGTGCACATTCACATCGTGAACGGTAAGCGAAGGTGCACGCGTGTATCTTCTTTCAAATTATGCGACTGGTACTGTTGGGTCCAAGAAGGGTTTCAGTGACGAAAGTTCCACCTCCCGGTGGAAAATATTCCCGAATATTTTATATTAATTATTTAATTAATACTTAATTAATAATTCATATTGATTGTTTCAATAATAGAATAACAAAATTGCGATGTGATAAGTAAACGTAATAATTTGAAATGCTTCTTGCATGCGATCGAGATTTATAATGTTTAAATGTTTGACATTTCTTCTTCGTGATTCATGTTTTAGATACGTCACGTGGTTTCATTAACGCAAATGAAATTATCGAACTTGACAAAACGATCAAATGAAAGAGGTTTGACTATAAGTGGACAGACATAAATTTTAATTAATGAGTGAAGTGAATATTAAAATTTATAATTCTCTGTGTTTGTTGCATGAAACGATAACGTACAAGAAAGACAGCATCATTCTGTATGATTTGTCTAATATTTATGTAACATTTGGAAAGGGTATACGTATAGTGTTAAAACAATATTGTAATAAAGTCTCGTTCTCTGTTTTGAAAGTTTATCACGATAAACCTGTTTATAATCACACTTCATACGTATAATATAAATAAAATTGAACTTTATTAATTTGCAAATTAATTCATATCTACTGTGTATACATTGATCAATGTTCGACTATTTCTAGAACAGTGAAAGTCAATTGACTTACAAAATTTGATGCAACATCGTCAATTTTAAAAGTACAGCAACAAAATTTCGTGAAAAACGTGCGTGAAAAAGTATGTAGAATCTGACCGAATCTTGAAGCCTTTCTCGCATCTGATGGTTTTAATTTCATTACATAAAATCAATACAAATGCACATCACTCTGCATAAAACACCATGATCATTTAATAAAGAATATTTTTAGTTTAAAAAAACTATCAAAGACTGAAATAACAAATCTCTTTCGTCGCATCGTCACATTACGAAGATATATATATACGTATACGTACATTTCCTTTCTACTGGCCCCCCGCTATTAGTCGCTGAAATCACTTTGCATGGCATTAACCCGAATAGCGCGGCGGCACCGAAAATTAGACACGTCCGTGTTTCGGTTTAAGAAACGATGTAACCCAACGTTGCAGCAATAACGTCGGGCGTCGTCTTGATTCGTTTAGTCGCCGTCGGCGAACGCGTACGCGGCAAAACACGGCAACGAACGAGTTTCGCAAACCGCGTAATCAAAATGAAATCTTGGGTCGCGTGCAAGTTGAGGGCCGTTTCGCGCGAGTCGCGAATCCGAGCAACTTGCCGCCGAAGGATTCGTCGCGAACGATGCACAACCCCGCGTTACAATCCCGCAACGAGTTTCGGAAGTTGCTGAAATTTCATTTACCCATCGCTCAGACATATTAGAAGACGTTGTTCGCGTACAATTACGTTTAATTGCATTAACCGGGTGGAGATGTCAACGCGCGTGCGCCTGTAGTCGCGATTTGATCGATCGAGAATTCGTCTTTTTCGCAAAAAAACGCGACGTTAAGACTGAACTAGTAGTAGACGGTACCTTTATTGTTTTTAGTTCAGTAATATTTTCTGGGATCGTTGTAAAGGGGGAACTTCAATCTTCATATCCAGTTGATAAAAGAAATTTTTCAATATTTTTACACACAATTTATTGCATTCCCGAGAAGAAAACTACACGATCGTGAAAATTTTAGAATAGAATATTATATATATATATATATGTAAATTATATTAATATTATATTGAATTATAGATATACAAATTATATTAATATTAAATTAAATTATATATATATAAATCACACAATTATTATTATATATATATATATAATTTAATTTAATATTAATATAATTTATATTTATATATTTAATATAATTAATATATTAATTATATATTTATATAATTAATATATTAATATAATTATATTTAATATATATATATATTAAATATTATATAAATTATAGAATAAAATATATAACGTATTTTGAAAATAGAAACTTCAAGCTTTAAAATTATATTTCTTGTCACACCATTTTTTTTTTGCAAAATTATACAAAATTACACTTTAAATTATACACTTTAAATTTTACAAATGCAAATACGAATTATATAAAATTACACTTTAAATTTTTAGTAATTTGGAATATTAATGGAAGTCACTGTTATTGATTCATTTATGTTTCTTTAACTGTAATTGATCGCCAGTTGGCAAAAGGGAAACTACCATTTTTACATTGCATCATAAATTTCGGTTTGTTGCAGAGCATCCGGCAGCGATGCATCACGGCAGCGGCGGCAGAGTGGCTGCGACCCTACTCACCCTCGTTCTACTTCTTTTCATGATCATTTAGCCGGTGCTTGGTTTTCACGGATGGTTTTAACCGCGGCGCAAATTGCCTGTTATCAACCCACGTCGCGTCGATCGAGTTTGTTTTCGTTCGAACGACGAACGTAGTAGCTCGTCTAAGCGTCGTCGTTTTCGCATCGATCGTGAGAATATGAGGTTCGACACGAAAAAAAACAAAAGTAAAGAAGAACGAGACTGTGCTTATAACGTTCCCGCGATAGAACTCCGTTCATATGAACTCTATTTATTTCAATGTAATTTTAGTCGCTACTCGATTAAATGAACGTTTGCTTGAATAAATTAACTGAACCGTTTGCTTGAATATTAGATGAACGAAAAATTGAATATTGACGCAAACGATCAATCACTGACAGAAAATAAAGTAGGACTAAAAGCAAAATTATTACACGAAATGACACTAATACTAAAGAAAAATAAATGAACAACTTCCGTCAGAAAAGTCTCCAACTATACAAATTGAGTATGGCATAATACATATTTCCAATTATTTCAATTTTTCTAGACGGATTGGAAAATATCCCATCCTCTGTATCAGGATATTTAAATACGTGTCTACTTGTACTGAACGAAGCAATTTATTCCAAAATTCTGATTCTTTGCTCCAAAATTAGTTTGAAAGATCAGTCTCGTTCTTTTTGTGTCGGACCTTTTGAATGAGAAACCATGTAAGCACTTCCTTGCATGTTGTGAGAATATTTTCATGAAAATATTCGATACTTCATTTCTTCTTAAAGTGTAATTATCTTTTAGGTATCGTGACAGTTGACAATGAATGAATTTTCCTTTCTCACGGTTTCGCGTGACCGACCCCCCCAATGGACAATCTCTGTAGATATTTGATACCGGGCTCGTGCGAGATCTGTGTAACTGAATGCTTTTACATTCTGCTCGTATCAAGTCTCTCGTCGATTCTTTGCATGTTTTATCTTTTCATCCTTCGGCCATTCGTTTGAGCTCCCTTGACTTTCATTCTTATTGCTTTCATTCTTTAGCTGTCTTTCCCATTCCTGACACTGTGACAATCAATGACACTACTATGATACTATTACGTAGATTTTCAGCTGTTAGTGGCCGTCTATTATAATAAATTCAAATGCGAATTTATCATTCTATGACATTTCGTGGAAAATCAGTCTATCAAAAAGAAAAAGAAATAATGACGAATTACTGAAGGCTTAGATATTTAATTGTTAATTGACGCTTTTTGTCAATAAATAATATTCTTTCGTGATGCTGAACACTAAACAGCAATCTGATACTGAATAAACTACAATATAATGCAAGTTCTCAAATTTTAATTTTAATATTAAAAAGACCAAAAAATTCGTGTTACAATATCGCAGTATTTTATTGTCATAGTTTGTAATCGAGTATGTACAATATTCGAGGTGTGCCCGTATATGATTTTATATTCACTTATCTACACTCTCGCTTAAAAGTCCAAAGCGCATTTTAGTTTTTGAATTAAAAAGTTCTTCGTACATTATAATTGAATAATTATCTAGAATCTAGATAAAATATATATATTTCATAAATTTTTTACAGTGAAACGTAAGAGCAACCTACATTCCTGACTCGAACTTGTAATTTCAAGTAATAAAGATAATTTCAAAGTATTACAGAAGAAAGTTTCTTTAGTTGCTGAGCAATGAATTATTCTTACGTTTGAATATGTCTCGAGTTTTATGAAATATAATATATTCCTTTCTTCTAAACATCCATGCTCTTTGGATTTTCGAACCTAACTGTTTAAAAATAATACAAAATAGAATGAAATAATTACTTATGCCTGAAGTAGTTATTTTTCCTGAATTCTTAACATGTTCCATATCTTTGAGCGAGAGTGTGTTTGTTCGCTATTTCAATCTGCTTGTTTCTTATAGATTCATAGGCAGGTTACTAAAATCAGATTTTCTAAATTCTCCGACAGTAGTTGCCGATCCGACGAACGTAACCGATCGTTACGGTGCCAACAGCAGCAGAAAATCTCGCGTTATCTCGAAATATGTACGTGAGCCAATTGTACGTTGAAAAAAAAGAAAAAAAGAAACGTGCAGCACGGCGATACAATTCTACAATTTAAACTGTTCACTCGACCCTGGGAAATCGTCTCATTGTCAGCTGTTATCGAATCGTTGGGAAACGGTTTTACACGGATCGTGTAAACCTTTTTAACGAGCCTCCGCGATGATCCCCCTGTATCCAATGTACGTAATTCCACCGATCGAATCGCTAACCGATCGAGTTGCGATACAGCGACAGCTACCAGCTACCCGAGACTGGGATTTAATTAAATAAAAATCGTCGTTCTGAACGTTGCCGATGGAACGACGTTCGCCCGGCGTTCCAATAATAAACTCGCCGGCCTCGTGTCGTCGGAACTTCCCGTCGTTTCTGTACGTTTATCTCGGAAGGGATAAGTGTCGAAGCAACTTGCTATCCCGGCCAAACTTGTTACATTCTGTCGCTGTCGCTGGGAAATGGAATCAACGCCAGGGCGGAAGAGCTTGTACGTGAATATAGTCTTCCGTGTCTCTCGCGACTTGTGAGATTCGACGATTTGTACAGGAGGAAAAAAGTCGAACGAATCTCCGCGCTAGCGCGGAGATTCATTTGCAATAGTAAACGAAATCACTTTAAGCGTGTTGCATATCAGATAGAACGAGAATCGAGTCTCGAGATGTTTGTTAGACGCGAGAGAAGGAGAAGCTGATCTTGGAGAGAAGATCAAGAGGAAGGGATGGCTGAGATCAGTGAGTAGCAAATGTATGCATACGTAAATATCCGTGTGGGAGAATTTGGGGTAAGACGGAACTAAAGTTAGGAAGAGACGCAAGGGAAATTAAATGTTAAGTATTGCTGACGTATTATTTGTCGAAGCATTTTTGTGAAAGCAATCTTTATTTACACAAGAAAATTGAGACTAGATAAATTGAGAACTTAGATAAACGAACGAAATTTGTAATTGAGGTCAATATAAAGTGGGATTAATATGAGAGACAAGGCGAAGTGTGTTTTAGCAGCAATCTTAATAACAAGATGATTATTACCTAATCAATACCTAAATTTTCCATAAATGCATAAAGATCCGCAGTCTGTTTATTATTTACGATATTTGGAAACATTAAATACTTAAATATCATGTACAAATATCAAATATTTCAAAGAAACACACTTTTTGAAACGCCTTATTTCAATTCTTTCATTTTGTTTTTTCAATTTTTCGAGAAGGTCTTTCTTGGTCTTTTCAGAAACTCGTTTCTTGGTGTTTATCTTCATTTTCTTTTTGCTTTTTCTTCTCTTTCCTTGACTGCTTTTTCTCCAGTCAACTAACTTTCTTTGATGTGCTGAAAAATTGCAGCTTTACCACGTCAGTTACTTGTTTTCTTCCTTGTAATTGTCGTTTTGAAACTATAATTAGATTCTCGTTTAAAACAAAAATGAAACTTGTAGCTTATGACATGCGTAGTCACATGACGCTGATATTTTCAAATTAATACTAACCTCGTCAAAATTTACTCACGCCTGTATTTGTAACATACCGTCTTGCCTCATCTTCCCCCAAAATGTATCGTCGACTTCGAGATTTTCCGCGTCACAGCCTCGACTTAATACCGGAACTACAACAATTTCCTAATTTCTTTCTCAGAAATTTTCTCAATTTTCACGATGTGAATTGCATCTCTGAAAATTATCTACACGATATTTTGTATTTTAATTTTAGCCAGTAGCTCCAGCGTTAAAGGCGACGCGAAGAATTAATCATTCTCATCGACAGGTGGGAGATCAACGCGAGAATCCGCGTTGATACTTTTTTGGTTTCGTTCGCGCGATAAAAATTTATCCTCGCGGGATTCACGTCGATCGAAGATGTCTGTGAATTACGATGCGCGCGCCAGTTTTCTTTGTGACGGTATTACCAGCCCGGATAAGCCAGTCGTTCCGTCGCGAGTCGCCGCGCGGACAATCGAGCCAGAAATTTGAATACCAGTTTTATTTCGGTGATAAAAGGCCGCGCCGCGCAGGTCGAATTAAAAGGAAAGAGTGTTGCCAGGGATTAAGAAAAGAAACGGGCGGAACAGTTTAGCTCCGGAAGCTCCGTCGGGCTATTCGCACTGATTACTACTTAATTTTACTCTTTTTTTTTTTTTTTTCTTTCTTTTCTTTCTTTTTTTCCCCCCCCCGCGGAACTCTCTAAATCGTTCTGATTGATGCCTATTTCACACGGTAAAGTTACTACCACTTTCGCGGGTATTTTTCTACGAATGCCCAAGTAGAAAATGAGGCGGTATTTAGAGGATGAAGAGTATAACTCGCTTGCGTTGTGACCGATTGAAGGACAATGGGCGTTTCTGGCCGTGAGTGAATACTGACGAGACTGAAACCCTCAGGTTAGGAATCGTGGATTTATTGAACACGAAGTCTTTAGAAAGTGCACAGTATGTGTCGGAATGCTTACGTTACCCTCGTCTTTCGTGTAATATTAAAATTAAAATGTATAGATATCTCCTGAATAGATAGCAGCAATTAATTCGGTGCCCTTTTAGAGAAACTTGCCATTTGTTTGGTGGCTTTTCCTTTTTTTTTTTTTTTTTTTT